ACGAGAAGTAGAAGCAGAAGCACGAGAAGAAGAAGCAGAAGCATGAGAAAAAGAAGCAGAAACACGCAAACTTGAGAAGAAGAACTATGGGAAATAGTATTTGAATGAGTAGAAACAACAGTAGACAACATTAAATCAATAATTGGATTACCTTTACCAGAAGTAATATTAGACAAGTTATTCTTAAAAGAATAAAACTTATAATCCAACTCACTCATTATACGTACAATCAGTCTATAATTGATACCACATAGTCTATACATCAATTAAATAAATCTATAATAGTTTAGAAACATTTCAAACTACTTTCATAAAATTAATCAGTAAATGTTCAATGTCAACACTTAATATATCTTAGTGAACACTCTATCTCAATGAAAGTACATCCAATCATCCTGTAACTTTACCAGATACATTTAGTCACACTAATATACATCTGGTATCAATTTTAGTGTTTTAGAATTGAATTCAATATGATAATAATAACAATCTGTCAAATTGTCATATTTCAACATATAGAATATACTCCATCTCATTCATTTTACAATATATCATACAAGTATCAAGTATGGATATACTCCCCTAGATGAGGAGAACAATCTGAGAAAGTTTCAAATTCATGGCTCAATATCTTCAAAAAAAAGCCTTATTAGAGACAAAAATGAGTAAAATGACCGAGAATCGATCGCACGTCCATTAGTGAACATTGCCATTATGCAACCGCTGAGCTAACAGCGCGATAGGTTTTATTTCTAAAAATATCTATACAAACAAGAATATGTAGCATTAAGAAGAACATTACTACGGCTGCAAATAACAACAAGTATAAATTATAATTTATTAATAATATTAATTTATTAATAATATTAATTTATTAATAATATTAATTTATTAATAATATTGAAGGGAGAAGTTGCTCCCTTCCAAATGATGGAAGGGAAGATCCAACTTGATGACCAAGAGGTGATACATCTACCAATCCAATCCAATTACATTATTAAAGCTATCCTAAATTTCCAATTAATTTTGCAACTTGGTGGAAGTGAGTGCCAAAGGCACCACACCTCCACCTTTATAATAACTTCCAAATAAATATTATTCCAATTCCGAAACATCATCTTCCAAATAATTCCAATCAATATATATTTTTAAAATTATTATGAAACAACTCCTGATGATATGATGATATGATGAGATGATTGAATGAGGAAGAGAAAGAGACATCACATTTTTTTTGTATGTTACTTTTCCGTCTCACAATTATCTATTCTATTTTTAAATTTTTCGGTTTGAAAATTATCATTGAAGATGAAATTTTGCAAATATTTAGAAACCTTCCTTCTTGATAATTACTTAGTCGATCAAGGAGGAACAACGTTCTTTATCCATCATTTGGTCTGTTCCCCGATTTTAAATTATAAAATTTTCATTTTTACTCGCTTTTCTAACTTTCAATATTTGTCTTTCAAACCTGTGCCTTATTGTTCGATGAATATTTGATTTAAAGATGTCATCCTTTCAGGGTAGCTCCTCCTAAATGTATAGAACAAGTTTGTAAGATATCATAATGAATGGTTAAGTAGTTTTTCATTGAATAATCAAAGAGTATGTATTTCCAAACCCACTTCTAAAAGTACATATTTCAAAATCTTTAATCAATAAGAGATTGGAGTAAGATGTATCCGAGGTTCGGTTACAATCCAAAGGTTCCAAGGTTGATTCACCAAACGGTATCTCAATTGAGCTTTAATCCATTTGTCTTAATTTATATTTTTTTATTGTTATGTGTTTTTAAAAACACGAAAATATATTAGATTAGAGTAATGACATTGACGAGTCTGATTGGTGGATAGATATTAAAGAGCTATCCATAATTTTGGAGGGCTGTTTGATATTATGCGAATGCAAGCCATTGCTTTCATTGTATGGATTAATCTTTGGTTTTCTTTTCTTAACACAATAAACACAACATAACAATGCAACAACACCAGATAATATAATAATCAATGATCCACTAGGGATAACAACAGAAAGAATAATAATAATGATACTACTATTATTCTGAAGTTTCGAGGATTTGGGTGGTGAACGAGATTTTTTCAAATCCTTAACAACAATGAGATTTTCTATTTTCCATGATTCAAAGTTACAATTGCAAGTTATTGAATTGGTAGCACTATCACGCCCAAAGACTGTACACATACTTGTATCATACTCTAAATCTGGTTGAATAATAATACAAGAATATAATGAGTCCTCACTTGAGATGAATTCCTCGTCGTTGATGTGAACATTAACAGCAATCTTGTTAGGTAAATCAGCGGTTAGCAATTTAGGGGAAGAAAGTGAAAAGCTGACACTCTGTGGTGATACTACTATTAAGGATGAGATATTCAAATCTTGTTCAATTATTTGTGTGAAAATTGTGGGAACATGATCTTTCATCACAATACAATATGTCAACTCTGCATACTCATTAATTTCAGTAAACTCAATCGATGGTATTTTGACATAAGCTTGATAAGAAATAACTCTTTCTTTGGTTGGAGGAGAGGTCACAATAGATGAAGAAAAATCTGTTAAATAAACCTTGTCTGCCTTTACATTAGCAACCTCTTGTTGTAGAGCAGCTGGATCAACAGACACTGATTGGACCTGAACGAAAGAAAGAACATAATCTTTAGCAATTATTGCTATGGACTCGTAGTGTTCGAATTGATCTCTCAACAATTTCATCTTTGAAACTTGTGTGCTAAGAGTACCAATAGTATTCATCAGTGGTTTGAATGATTGAGAGAATATATCTACCTTACTCTTAATTGTCAATTGTATAACATTGTTAAGAACTGTAATTGATTTTCTGATGACTGGAGTTTCCATTCTATTCTCACTTTTAATCATTGCATTCACAGCTAAAATTGTGATTGCTGATGATTCTGGAGCAGAATCCTTACCAGCAGTTTGAACTGAACTAGCCAAGGTATCTAGTAACTTGGATTGAATTGAGCTGATAATTGATGAATCCTTAGAAGTTGATGGCAAACTTTGGAGCAGTTGAGTGGTTGAAATAACAGTGTTGATTGTTTGAGAAACGCTCCTACTTGTATCACCATCCTTTACAAAGGCGGAAATAAGGTTTGTTTGATTCGAGACTTGCTCCATTATTTCAGATAAACTTGAAACAGTATCTGGTCTAACGGTAACGATAGACTTCATAAGTCTTGATTCACCTGTATTGGTGTCAATCAATTCAATGAATAAAGTAACAGTTTCATCATTCAAAGAGGATGGAATGGAAGGTATTTTCATTGTGGAATCTTGTGACAGTGGAACAGAAACTTTAATTCCAGTTTCCCTATCAATGTATCCTTGTTTGATTTCAATTGTGTTGTCTTCGTTTTGACAATTATCACAACTGAATGAAAAGTCAGTCTTCATTGAAATACCAGTAGAAGGAGAGATTTTACAAGGACACTTCTTTGGGGGTTGGGATTTTACAAAATTGTTGAACACTTCTGAGGCTGCAATTTCATCATGGTTCTTATTTACAAACGAAACTTTGAGTTGAATTGAATGTTTCATTCCATACTCTAATTCTTTTGAGTCAACAATAATAGAACTTTGTTGATTCTTGTTAACAATCTTGATGTTACTATATGGAGAAGAAATTGTGGAGGATATTGTTTGAATTTCATTAGAAACTTTTGAGGTTTCACATTCAGAAACAATTGTGCCATCAATTTTCCATTGAGTTTTCACTGACAGAGTTGAATCTGCTGGATCTTGGTCAGGATGTTTAATCTCTATGGATATCTTGTCATTGTCATTAATTTTTGTTTTCAATTTAGGTGAAATATCAATAACATTAACAATTGGAGGCGGATGAGAAATTTTCAAAGTGATGGAACTGGAAACAAATCTTTTTCCTTTTGTAATTGTAAGTGTGAATGTTGGATTAATTAATTGATTTGAGAAATCCTCTTTTGCCACCACAACAATACTAGAACGGTCTTTTGCGTATTGATACATTTTCTCAACTATGAAATCTCCACAATAACCAAATGTTTCTGAATCAATACAGGTCCAACTCCAAACTTCTATTTCATCTGTATTATTCTCAGGATCTTGAAAATTAATTTGTAGACAAGATTGAGAAGCATTTGAGTTCTTTGTTAGTATAAGTGAAAGTGTGAGGGATGGTTGTTCAGTATTAATTATTACAGTATCACTTGAGGTTAATGAAGGATTTTCAACAGAATAAATTGAAACTTTGAAGCTATAGACACGTTTTCCAGTTGAAAATTGTGGGATCAGTAAATTATTGTACGAATCCTTCTCAAATTTGATTGTCGGTCCTGCAACAAGTTGCCACTCAACCTTCATTTCCTTATCTTTCAATGAAGTAGGAAGACTTGTTGTCTTTTTAATAATAACTGACTTTTCAGTTGAGAGCATAACCAATTCCTTTTTTCCTGAAATAACAACTGAGGGAAATTCAACATTTTGTATTTCAATATTTTCTGAGGACTGGGAGCTTACTAATTTGCTTACTTGGCTTTTTACAATCAAATTTATGGTATAAAAACCACTAGTTAATTTTCCCTTATCAATTTTAAGTATTGGATCTCGAATCAGTCTGATGGACTGAAATAAATTACTAGTAATATTTCCACTAACATCCCAATAATATTCTAATCCTTTCTTGTCTCCTGAAAAACTATTTGCACCACTGATATGAACATTTTCAGAAGTTGAATAGAGTTTCTTTGTAGTTTGGATAACAGAAATTGGTTGCTGCATTTCCTCTGACAAAATTAATGACAATCCAATAAAATCAGCTACCTTGGATTTTGAAAATACGTTAGTGTTCAATCTAATACTTTTTGTTTGAGAAATATCAAAAATGAAGTCATTATCAAATTCAATTTTGAAATTTCCAGTCTCCTTGTCAGTCCAATAACATTTTGGTTCAGAACCTAGTAAGGCCAGATCGTGGGAATGAATCAATAAAGAACACATTAATGAATTCATTGAATAAGATGAAGGTCCAAACAACTTGAACAATATTCCATCAAAATATTTTGATATTTGACCAATAATATTTGATGTTGATGAAGAATTGACTGAAGAGAAATAGGTTGAACATTCACTTCCAAAATACCCTTTCAAACAAGAATCACAATTAGGACCATTCCAATATCCCTGTTCTCTATCTGCATAACACACACAAGTGCCTGTGGAATCACATGCTCCATGACCAAGACATGTAGTCTTTT